GAGATTGAGACCATCCTGGCCAACATAGTGAAACCCTATCTCTACTAAAAATACAAAAATTAGCTGGATGTGGTGGCACGTGCCTGTAAACCCAGCTACTCAGGAGGCTGAGGCGGGAGAATTGCTTGAACCTGGGAGGCGGAGGTTGCAGTGATCCGAGATTGCACTGCTGCACTCCAGCCTGGGTGACAGAGCAAGACTTAATCTCCAAAAAAAAAGAAAAAAGAAAAAAAAAAGAGATTGTACGTGGGTTTGGACAGTGTCAGAGAAGAATCTAGGTTTCATAGAGGATGTCAAGGAGTAACAATATTCTAAAAAAATGACTAAGCAAGCATGCAGGTTGACTTACCATGATCACTTAGGTGCGCAAAGTAGGCAGAGATTCAATGAACAAAAACAGTATAGTTTATTGCCAACAGCAAACAGCAGAAGCACCAGCATGGCTGAACCAGTTGCCCTATCCCCCAGCAACACAAGGGGTTTTGCATACAGCTGAGGCATCCATGGTGAAAGGCTCAGTAATTTTTACAACAAACAGTAACCAAACCTGTCCCCTCCCCCAGAGACAGAGGATAGTTAGGACTTGAAATTTGACACGCTTAGCAAGAATGTGTAGAGATGCTCAAGGACCATGGTGGAGTACCTCTTCCAACAGAGAACAGAGACTGCCGTGGAAATTTGTTATTATCAGCCACCCCTATTGGTCTTCTTGTAACACACCTCAATTTCCTTTAGGGAAACCACCCAGCCTGCTGCAGCATTTGATGAAATGGTCAATTCACTACCCTTATCTGAATTCGCAGAGCTGTTCTGGTGTCAGAGCATTCCAAGACCGGCTCCGCAGTTGTCCCTTTGATTCTGTGAGCCAACCTACAACCATCCAATGAATCCCTTTTGGTTTAGATTAGTCAGCTTCTCTTACTGGCAACCAAAGAAGTCTGACATAAAATGGCATCTGTTATCAAAGAGTTCATAGCTCCACCAGGGAGACAGACATGTAAACAAATAGCCACAACTGGGTGAGAAATGCTATAAAAATGCTATAAAAATGCTATAATACAAGGCACATGTAAGGCACAATAGTAGCATTGAAGAAATCCATCAATAAAGATAAGTGTCATGAGGGCAATAGGTGGAGAAAGTAAGCAAAGGTATCTCAGGTAGAACAAAAGTGTATACAATGTCCTCGAAGTATCTTAAAACATGGTGCATTTAGGGAACCACAAGAAATTTGGCATGGTGGGAGCATAAGATTCTACGGCAGCAGTGGCCAGTGGAGAGGCTGAAGAGAGAGGCAGGAGCCTGGACATTTCATGTCAGAGGGTTTGGTTTTATTAAGGGCAAGCTCGGTCAGATTTTTTTTTTTGAGACAGAGTCTCGCTCTGTTGTCCAGGCTAGAGCGCAGCGGAGTGATCTCGGCTCACTTCAACCTCTGCCTCCCCAGTTCAAGAGATTCTCCTGCCTCAGCCTCTGAGTAGCTGGGACTACAGACACGCACCACCATGCCCAGCTAATTTTGACATATTTAGTGGAGACAGGGTTTCACCATGTTGGCCAGGCTGGTCTCAAACTTCTGACTTCAAGTGATCTGCCCACCTCAGCCTTCCAAAGTGCTGGGATTACAGGTATGAGCCACCATGCCTGGTCCTTCCTGTCAGATTTATGTGTCAAAAAGGTTGCTCTGTTAGAGGTATGAAAAGGGAATGAGTTGGGAAGACATTGGAGAGCCATCAAGAGTAATTTGGACTTTGAAGTTAGACAGACTGGCTTCAAGTCCTGGCTCTGCTACTTCCTACCTGTGTGACCTTAAGCAAGTTCTTGAACCTCTCTGTGGCTCCGGTTTATCATTTATAAAATGTAATAATAAGATCTGCTTCTCAGTGGCTTGTGCTGTGGTTTAGTGATCTTTGTAAAGTCAGTATAGTGCTTGGAAGATAGCAAATTTCTAAAGATGTTAGCTACTATTATGATAAAGTCTGGGAGACCAATTGGGGTTACTATTTTATTTTATTTTATTGTTTTTTGAGACGGAGTCTGGCTTTGTCGCCCAGGCTGGAGTGCGGTGGCACCATCTCTGCTCACTGTAACCTCCGCCTCCCGGGTTCAAGTGATTCTTCTGCCTCAGCCTCCCGAGTAGCTGGGACTACAGGTGTGTGCCACCACACCCAGCTAATTTTTGTATTTTTAGTAGAGATGGAGTTTCACCATATTGGACAGGCTGGTCTTGAACTCCTGACCTTGTGATCCACCCACCTCGGCCTCCCAAAGTGCTGGGATTACAGGTGTGAGCTACCGTGCCCAGTCTGGGGTTGCTATTAATACAATAGTCTAGGTGAGGGCTGATGAAGGCTTAAACCAAGACAAAGAAGTGGGGATGACAAGCCTTTTAAACGTTTGTAAGCATGCCATATAGATAGGGTGGCCACATGATTTGTGATTCACTGAGGGACACTTCTCAGGGTGAAATGGGTATGTATTAATAATGATACCAGGACAACAGGCATGCACTGGGAAGTACAATCATGCCGCACAGTAGTCTCTTCTAAGTTCAGCTTCTAGATGTCCCACACCAGCACCAACAATGCTCAGCTTATTCGATTGTAACATGCTGAAAGGAAACTTGTTTTTAATTTTACTGGAGGCAAGACGAAACCAACAAGCATCAGGCATCTTCTTAGCTCAGATGTCTTTTCTGACTCAATTCAGCCAGATTTGACTACTCAGCACAACCGAGCACACACAAGAGAGAGGGCAACCATGTTCTTTCTTTCTGCACCACACAGGATGTGAACCACACATGCTGGAAAGCAGGGCCTCCAGCCTTCATTTGCAGGCTGGGTGGCTCAGACATCAGGTCAACATTAATGGCTTCCCTATGTCTCCAAAACAGGACTTGGCATCTCTCCCAGACCCTCCCTAAAGGCAGGTAACTTGTGCATCTGTCTTGTTCTCTCCAGTATACTTAGCATCAAACGCAGTGTCTAGCCCCTAGCAGGAGCTTGACGAATACTTATTAAATATTGGAATGGGCTTGGTGGGGCTGGGCGTGGTGGCTCATGCCTGCAATCCCAGCACTTTGGGAGGCCGAGAAGGGTGGATAACCTGAGGTCAGGAGTTCGAGACCAGCCTGGCCAACGTGGAGAAACCCTGTCTCTACTAAAAATACAAAAATTAGCCGGGCTGCTGGTGCACATCTGTAATCCCAGCTACTTGGGAGGCTGAGGCACAAGAATCACTTGAACCTGAGAGGCAGAGGTTGCAGTGAGCCAAGATCACACCACTGCACTCCAGCCTGGGCAACAGAACAAGACTCTGTCTCAAAAAAAAAAAAAAAAAAAGGAGTGGTGGTATTTTCCTTGTAGATACTCCCTACATGTACAAAGGTTGGCCAAAGCTCCTGCCCCATTCCCAATACTCAAAGATGCCATGTCTTCCAGTTCACTTTCATTAGGTTCTGGGTAGGAATAGTCAAATCAATCAGGATTTCTGGTGATGGACAGTCAATATCTTCCTTACCATGTTTTCATTAGCAACAAAATGTTGTATGGGCCAGGGGGAGCCTTCATAGCTTTACACTAACACAGGGAGTGGGGCGAGGAAGACCTAATTTTTTATTATTAGTATTATTATTATTATTATTTTATTTTTATTTTTTTGAGATGGAGTCTGGCTCTGTCACCCAGGCTGGAGCACAGTGGCATGATCCTGGCTCACTGCAAGCTCTGCCTCCTGGTTCAAGTAATTCTCCTGCCTCAGCCTCCTGAGTAGCTGGGACTACAGGCGTGTACCACCACGCCCAGCTAATTTTTGTATTTTGGGTAGAGACAGGGTTTTGCCATGTTGGCCAGGCTGATCTCGAACTCCTGACCTCAAGTGATCTACCCACCTCAGCCTTCCAAAGTGCTGGGATTACAGGCGTGAGCCACTGTGCCCAGCCAAAGACTCAATTTCTTGCTTGAGATAATGGAGCAACACAAAGGAATCTTCCAGCTGGTTGCCATCCTTCTCAGGATTTCTTTTATTTTGGGCTTGTAGTAGCTCGGCCTCTATTTCCCCCTGCCCCTTTGAAAGTTGATTTCTCCTCAGAGGCCCTTTCCTCTCCTCAGAGGCCCTTTCCAAGCCAGTCTTGGATTGGCTTTCTTGGCTTTACTTGGCTATTGTGTGGTTTCAATTGAGCAGACTACTATATGATTTGGATCTGTCTCCCTGCCCAAATTTCATGTGGAATTTAATCCCCAGTGTTGGAGGAGGTGGCCGGTGGGAGATGATTGGATCATGGGGGTGGATTTCCTCCTTGCTATTATCATGATAGTGAGTTCTCACGAGATCTGGTTGTTTAGAAGTGTATAGCACCTCCTCCTTCTTTCTTTCTCCTGCTCCAGCCATGTAGGACAGGTCTGCTTCTCTTTTGTCTTCTGCCTTCATTGTAAGTTTCCTGAGGCCTCCCCAGCCATGCTTCCTATACAGCCTAGGGAACCATGAGCCAATTAGCCTCTTTTCTTTATAAATTACCCGGTCTCGAGGCTGGGCCTGGTGGCTCACGCCTGTAATCCTAGCCCTTTGAGAGGCCAAGGTGAGTGGATGGCCTGAGCTCAGGAGTTGGAGACCAGCCTGGGCAACATGGTGAAACCCCATCTCTACTAAAACACAAAAAATTAGCCAGGTATATTGGGTGCCTGTAGTCCCAGCTACTTGGGAGGCTGACGCACAAGAATTGCTTGAACCCAGGAGGTGGAGGTTGCAGTGAGCCATGATCACGCCACTGTATTCCAGCCTGGTGACAGAGCAAGACTCTATCTCCAAAATAAATAAATAAATAAATAAATAAATAAATAAATAAATAAATAAAATTACCCAGTCTTAAGTAGTTCTTTATAACAATGCAAGAATGGACTAATACACAGATAGTAACTTTTCCCACCTATTTTTCCAAAAACTGCTCCTGTTCTCAGTCAGTCCTTTCCCAAACTGGAGCCTCCCTATAGCACAACCTGTAACAATTAGGGACTCACTTGGAAGTTTATTGGTGGAAGCACAGAAGCACCTTGTTGGAAATACCATCTTACCTCTCCCATGGTCACTCGGCTCACAGTGGGAAAGGAGCATTATAAGAGGTGGTAGCAAGTACAAGTACACGCATGCCAGGAAGAGCATGTTTTGCCTAGGTGTCAGGGTCCCAAGAAGTGCTCTCCTAGGGAACTGGCTACAGGAACTTGTAGAAGGTGCTCTTCCGGATCCTCCTGTTCCCAGAGGCTGTGGCTCAAGACAGCTCTCATGGGTATATTCAAATTGATTGGAGATGCCACTGGTGAGGGTATCTTGTAGCTGCTGCGGTTGTCTATTTCAATGGCAGTGTCATTGTTCCTGTTGGAGCCCAGGGAATTTTGGGGTTATTGAAAGCAATAGAAGAAAACGAAAACATTGTTAAAATTTAACTTAAAAACCACTTTTGGGTGGGTGCAGTGGCTCATGCCTGTAATCCTAGCACTTTTGGAGGCCGAGGTGGGCGGATCACTTGAGGTCAGGAGTTCAAGACCAGCCTGGCCAATACGGTGAAACCCCGTCTGTACTAAAAATACAAAAATTAGCTGGGCATGGTGGCACACGCCTGTAATTCCAGCTACTCAGGAGGCTGAGGCATGGGAATCGCTTGAACCCAGGAGGTGGAGCTTGCAGTGAGCCGAGATGGCACCACTGCACTCCAGTCTGCGTGACAGAGTGAGACTCCTTCTCAAACAAAACAAAACAAAAAAACTCTCTTTCTAGTTATGGCTTTTTCCAGCGCCAGTGCTTTAAGCACATGTATGGAAATGCGGGGCACAATATGCATATATGGAACAATGTTAAAGGCAACCCAAGGAGAGGAAGCCACACGGGAGGAGGAGGAGGGAGCCTGGAGCTAAGGCCTGCTCTGCTGGAGGAACAAACAACTCTTCAGACCTTAAGTACTACTTTGATGTGTTAAGGATATAACGTATTATGACTCAAAGACAAAATCCCAGGGACCAAAAATTTAAGATCAGAGAAGTGAGAGTGAGCTGGGGGGCCTGAGGGATTACCAGTCTTGGTAACCAAGGGCTTGGGTTGTCACATGGGGAGAGAGTCCTTTGTAAAGAGCTGCTGGCTCCTTCTCCTCAAGCTGAAAGAGAGAGCCTTCCTGGGTCAACCCAGGGAGCTTGAGCTGTGGCTCCTGGGCTGTGGGAGAAGAGTTGCTTCTGTGCCTAGGAAGCAAGGTCCTCCTCTCCAGTGGCTGGTCAAAATATGAGAGGATGTTTCCTGAGGGTCAGATGTGGGCTGTATGAGAGAGAGAGAGAGAGAGAGAGAGAGCACGTGCACACCAGCCTGGAGCCACTGTAAGCCCTACCCAAGAGGACTCCTTAAAGGGGTGAGGGGATAGTTAGTGCCTGGGGGGGGGCATGGCCCCTGCAGAGCCATGGCTGGGAGGGTGGGGGTGGGGGTTGGGGGGGGCACAGTGTGGCCAGATGAAAGGGAGGTGTTGCAGTTGAGGGGCCAGAAAGGAGATTTCAAAGAACCCAAGAAAGCTCCTTGCCAGTTGTAATGGCTCATGACTATAATCCCAGCACTTTAGGAGGCCAAGGTGGGAGGATCACTTCGGTTCAGGAGTTTGAGACCAGCCTGCGCAACATAGCAAGATCTTGTCTCTACTAAAAATTTAAAAAATTAACCAGGCATGGTGGTGCATGCCTGTAGTCCCAGTTACTTGGGAGGCTGAGGTGGGAGGACTGCTTGACCCCAGGAGATTGAGGCTGTAGTGAGCCAAGATCATGGCACTGTACTCCAGCTTGGGCAACAGAGTGAGACACTGTTGGAAAGCAAAGGAGAGGAGAGGAGAGGGGAGGGGAGGGGAGGGGAGGGGGAAAGGAAAGAGAAAGAAAAGAAAGAAAGGAGGAAAAAGAAAAAAGAAAGAAAGCTCCTAAGAGAAAAAAGTTAGCTTTAAATATTAGGAAACAGAAAGAGAAGAAGAGTGACAACCCAGTTCCCCGCTAGGAAAGGTCACCTTGATAGGGAGCCAGACTGAGGGTAAGGAGAAGATGTGATAAGTTCAGGGTTTTGATAATTTTCAGACATTAGATATTTTAATTTCAGAATTGAGGCTGCTTTTGCAATTTAAATGGACCAAAGGAGCTTTTATATTCTCAGAGAGAGCCCATATGCTATGTAGCCTGCCCAGAAATCCAGCTTTTATCCAGGGGCAAGAGGAAAACTTCTGCCACTGAAAAAGTTATGAAGGGCAGACAAAATAAATTTGCATTCTGATGATACCCTACAAGTTGCATTTGTGCAGCATATTGGTTGCACTATCTTACTTTGAGTTTCTATCACTTTTTACAGAAAGAATCTAATACAATTATTAGTAAATTAATGAGACTTTGGAGCTACCAGTAGTTTCCCTTATTCTGTCCGTTTTGCAGAAGAGGCTGGTGAGGGCCAGGCACAGTGACTCACGCCTGTAATTCCAGCACTTTGGGAGGCCAAGGTGGGTGGATCACCTGAGGTCAGGAGTTCGAGACCAGCCTGGCCAACATGGTGAAACCCTGTCTCTACTAAAAATACAAAAAATTAGCTGAGTGTGGTGGCAGGTGCCTGTAATCCCAGCTACTTGGGAGGCTGAGTCGAGAGAATCGCTTGAACCCAGAAGGTGGAGGTTGCAGTGAGCTGACATCACGCCATTGCACTCCAGCCTGGGCAGCAAGAGTGAAACTCTGTCTTCCAAAAAAAAAAGAAAAGAAGCAAAAAGAAAACAATAAAAGAAGAGGCAGATGAGGCAAAGAGAACTAGGGTTTTACCCCAGGGATCCTTGTGAGCTTGGATTGGAAATAGTCAATAGCTAACTCCACCATGAGCCTGCTTTGTTAGCTTCACTTCTTTGAATTGATTTTCTCATCCCTCATTCCTTTTATTGAACACCTGTCGTTAGAAAACACTGGATTTTGCCTAAGGAGTGAATATTCAGATCAAAGAGCCAAAGACCTTATTTTCAAAGGCAGGCTTACAATAAAATTGACAGAAAAAGCCATGTGCATGACTATCTAAAATACAAAGAAGGAACTGAGATAGATTGGTAGAGGGTGTCATTGATCCCATGACTTCACGCTGGAGGAAGGGATCTGGAGCTGACCCCACAGAGGACCCACCTGTCTGCTGTGAGCTGGAGCTTTCCTGAGAGCTGTGAGAAACTGCCACTGGTCTGCTCAGCCGCCAGCAGCACGAGGGACTCGCTAGGCTGGGGGGATGACAGGAGGCTGTTTTCAGGCTGGATGGAGAAATTTAGCGTCAGATGGATAGGTCTGCTCAGAGAGTTCTTGGCCTCCTTGGGGTAGAACTTTGAAGGGGTTTGTGATATTACAGTTGAGTTTCACACCCTAGCCCTGGGAACCTGTTCCTTCAGCATTAAGCCCCGAGAATCATCCAACAAAAAATGGGACCCCTGGCAGGGTCACACCCACTCCCTGGTCAACTATGGTGGCTGCTCTATCCAGAGTACAGATCTGAATGTTCAGAAGCAGAGCTGTCAGGCTATAAAACTGCTGACTTTCAAAGTCAATAACATACCTGAAGCACAGAACTTAAGTGAGAGGAGGAAAGCATTTAGATTCTGAAACCTGAAGGTTTTGGACAGTCCAATCTATTGACCTTCCTTCCTGTGCTTCTATACCAAGCAGGACCTGGAAAGGTCTTATGTGTATCAAAGACGTACCCTAAATAAACCAAAGAGGAAGGGCAAATATTTGAGGAAATATTTGTAAAAACTTGTAAGGGTCAAAAATCCTGATGTATAAAAAGTTTTATTATAGGCCGGGCACAGTGGCTCACGCCTGTAATCCCAGCACTTTGGGAGGCCGAGGCGGTTGGATCACGAGGTCAAGAGATCGAGACCATACTGGCCAACATGATGAAACACCATCTCTACTAAAAATACAAAAGTTAGCTGGGTGTGGTGGTGCACGCCTGTAGTCCCAGCTACTCGGAAGGCTGAGGCAGGAGAATCACTTGAACCCGGGAGGCAGAGGTTGCAGTGAGCCAAGATTGCACCACTGCACTCTAGCCTGGCAACAGAGTGAGATTCCATCTCAAAAAAAAAAAAAAAAGTTTTCTTTTACAAATCAATTTAGAGAAACATAAGATTGCCAATAGAAAAATGGTCAAACACCACAATAGACAGTGCCATATATATGGCATTAATATATATATAAAATATATTAAAACAATATTGTATTATATATAGGACTATAAATACATAACAATGTAACAATGCTGAAACTCATTGAAAATCAGAGAATGCCACTTTTTTACCTATTATACTAGGAATTTTATTAAAACGTTTACTGCTCAATTGTAATAGGATATGCAGTAAAATACTAATTTTTTTTTTTTTGAGATGGAGTTTCACTCTTTCACCCAGGCTGGAGTAAAGTGGCACGATTTCGGCTCACTGCAACCTTCACTTCCCGGGTTTAAGTGACTCTCCTGCCTCAGCTTCCCAAGTAGCATTATAGGGGCCTGCCACTATGCCCGGCTAAGTTTTGTATTTTTAGTAAAGACAGGGTTTCGCCATGTTGGGCAGGCTGGTCTTGAACTCCTGACCTCAGGTGATCCACCTGTCTTGGCCTCCCAAAGTGTTAGGATTACAGGCGTGAGCCACCACACCCGGCCCACAGACACTCATATTATTGGTGAGAGTATAATTTGGTATGATATTTATGGAAATAATCTAGCAATGTGTGTTAAGAGCCTTGAAAACGTTCATGCTCTTTGAATTCTACTTCTAAAAACCTATCTGAGAACATAATCAGAAATGTAGATCATACATATAAATGCTTGTTTTAGCATTATTTACAATAATAAATACAGGCCAGGCACAGAGGTTCACACCTATAATCCCAGCACTTTGGGAGGCCAAGGCAGGTGGATCACTTGAGGACAGGAGTTCAGGACCAGCTTGGCCAACATGGTGAAACCCCATCTCTACTAAAAATACAAAAATGAGCCAGGCGTAGTGGCATACACCTGTAATCCCAGCTACTCTGGAGGCTGAGGCATGAGAATCGCTTGAACTCAGGAGGTGGAAGTTGCAGTGAGCCGAGATGGCGCAATTGCACTCCAGCCGGGTGACAGGGCACGGCTCTGTCTCAAAAAAACAGAAACATTTCTAAATGTCTCAATATTAGGGACAGGTCAAATAAATTTTAATTCATTCATACTACTGAATAGAAATTATCAAAATGATACTTACAAAGAGCTTTTAAAAGACATGGAAAGTCTATATATATACACACACACTTACATATATACATATATATACTTATCTCTCAACAGATCCTGGAGGGAGGTCCACTTACTGTTGTTTCTATGGAGCTGGTGGGCATCTTGGGCACCAGGCAGTGAGTGAATTCGATTCTTGGGTCTTTGGTGGTGATGGACAGGCCTTTCTGCAGAATTTTCACCAAGCGGACCCAGAATTGAAACACAATCTCTGGGTGTTTTTCGTGGAGCTTCAGATAGTAGATCTTTTCGGTCACTGTCCTAACCCTCAGGATGCGCTGGAGCCGGTCGTAGATTCGCAGCTCCACATACTTCAGGGGGAGAAGCCTGGGCATAATCAGGACATTCCCATGAGAGAGCCTGTGGTTTCAATCAACCATGTGGGTGCCCACTTAGAGGTGGCTCAGCGTCATTGGCCTCCTACCTCTCTGCCTGGGGGATGCTGAAGGGAGAAAGCTCATGTAATGAAAGTGGGGGTGATTACTAAGACTGACTCCTGGCCGGGCGCGGTGGCTCAAGCCTGTAATCCCAGCACTTTGGGAGGCCGAGACGGGCGGATCACGAGGTCAGGAGATCGAGACCATCCTGGCTAACACGGTGAAACCCCGCCTCTACTAAAAAATACAAAAAACTAGCCGGGCAAGGTGGTGGGCGCCTGTAGTCCCAGCTACTCAGGAGGCTGAGAAAGGAGAATGGCGTAAACCCGGGAGGTGGAGCTTGCAGTGAGCTGAGATCCGGCCACTGCACTCCAGCTTGGGCGACAGAGCGAGACTCCGTCTCAAAAAAAAAAAAAAAAAAAAAAGACTGACTCCTCTCCAATTTCCAGGACTTTAGTAGGAATACAGGTGTGTGCCAGTACATCCACCTAATTATTTTGGTATTTTTTTGTTAGAAACAGGATCTCCCTATGTTGCCCAGACTGGTCTTGAACTCCTGGCTTCAAGCGATCCTCCCACCTCAGCCTCCCAAAGAGCTAGGATTACAGATGTGAGCCACTATGCCCTGCCAAGATAAGTATGATTAATTCCGCTTTACAGATTTTGAGGCTGATGCTTAGAGAGGCTAAGTGATTTGCCCAAGTTTAGATCTTATTAAGTGTGACGTGGAACTAAGATATCCTGACTCAGTTTCTAGGACTCTTTCTCCCTATATCCTGACTTACTGTGTTGAAAGGGCAAGGAAAAGGATAGATGTCTCCTGAATATCTAGTATTTTTTTTTCAATCTCAGGATTTCATAGTCGTGTTTGACTTTCGTATCCCCACTTTTTCCTTGGAAACCCCCTGTATCTATATTGACAAAAAGAAACATTTCTAAATGTCTAATATTAGGGACTTGTCAAGTAAATTTTAATTCATTCATATTACTAAATAGAAATTATTGAAATTATATTTACAAAAAGATTTTAAAAGACATGGAAATGTGTCTGCATATACACACATGTATACACACACACACACACATTTACAGAAAAGGAAGCTAAGATTCTCAAAAACCAGGTTCGAGACAAGGACTGTGTACTGCCCTATCCCAGCACGAAGAACAGTGCTTGGTAAATATAGATGCTAAACAAATACAGCTGGGCGTGGTGGCTCACACCTGTAATCCCAGCACTTTGGGAGGCCAAGGCAAGCAGATCACGAGGTCAGGAGATTGAGACCATCCTAGCTAACACAGTGAAACCCTGTCTCTACTAAAAAACACAAAAAATTAGCCAGGTGTGGTGGCGGGCACCTATAGTCCCAGCTACTCGGGAGGCTGAGGCAGGAGAATGGTGTGAACCCAGGAGGTGGAGCTTGCAGTGAGCCGAGATCACGCCACTGCACTCCAGCCTGGGTGACAGAGCGAGACTCCGTCTAAAAAAAAAAAAAAAAAAATTTAACCCCTTAATTTTGGGGGATTTCTTTTGCCTTCCAG